AGTGTTGTAGAGATAATGTGCTCAGCCTCGAGGGAAAAAAATATGATGTGCTAACACTCACTAACAGCTGTTAATGGCAGAGTATTGTGGACAGGAGAAGGATGTTTGACCTACCAGTCCTCTGGAGGAAGATGTAAACAACTGGCTTGATTCCCCACTGCCTTGCCCCTGCTATGGCCTTCTACGCTTGTGCCAAATAAATACAGCATATACCCTAAATGCTTTCACAACAAAAGAGCTGAGTTTTCCTACCACTTGCACAGATGTAAAAACCTACAGAAAGTGCAAGGTAGGAGAAAATTAGGGCCTGAAAATGCAGGAAGAGGGGCTTATGCAAGAACAAAGCAAACAGGGAGACTCAAAAATGCAAGAACAAAGCAAACCAGGAGACTCAGAAATGCAGTTATATAGTGACTAAATGAAAAGGGCATCTTTTAACTCTGCTAAGTGGTGCCCCAGGAGTCTTGTGAGGCACAGCTACTGCCTTCCATGACAAAAATACATTGTTATTGCCTCTTCTTCCTAAGGCTGCTGCAGAGCCATCACATCTAGGAAAGAGAAAACAGTAGACTGGACAACCCAAGGCCAGCTCCCCACTCAACTTTTGCCCAGCTGACACCTGCAGAAAGGCCACCGCAGTCCCTGCCTCACTTGGCAGAGCCATTAACGGCGTTTCATTACGTAGAGCACAAGGCAAACCATCACTGGAGCTGAAAGATCCCTGGTTCTGCTCCCATTAGCATACCCACGTGCCTTACAGCCTTGCTGAAGGCGGCAGCAGTGTTTCATTCACCATAACTTTTAATACCGATAACAGTGTAAGAGCAATAAAGAAGCATTTATTCTACTCATCTCAGTGCAAAAAGAGATGAAAGCTATTTACCTGTAAATGAGGACATGGATCCAGAAGTCAGTGTGTGAAGTCACCACAAGGCACTGTGAAGAGTGTCTGTAGCCTACAAAGACCTCCACTTTCTTGGTTACAAAAAGTTACTGAGAAATACCTTACTTCAAAAGGCCCTGGACCAGTGAGGTTGAAACTCCTCAGCATGCCTTCAGAGGCAGGAAAAGAACTGTGTGGGGTCTAATGAAACCATCCACTGCTAGGTCGACATGGCATGTGTCTTTTCTGAAACCTGGAGTGCTGCCCTGACACAGATTTAACATTCAGCTGAAATTTTTAGAAACAAAACCAAAGAGAAAACCAGAGCGTGACAGCTTGTGCCATCTGCATGGGATATGAGTGTCAGATTTAATGGCATCAGTTATATCATTATTAAAAAAAAATAAGAATTGAAATGCATTTACTGGTTATAAACCCTTTAACAAAAAAAGCTAGTGGCATGTGCATTTGCATCTGCTGCCTTTGTGTGCTCCAGATGACTTTGTGCATAGGAAGTTCTGCATCAGTGGGGATGGCAATACACTGGTAGGCACCCTTCCCCCCCTCCCCATCCTTTTTCTGATGCATTATTACACTAGATTCTGCTAAAAAAAAAATCCCAGCCAAAATTACTCAGTGAGGTGAGGGGAGGACAGAGTACTGGAAATGCACAGTATTAGAGAGCAGGCTATCATTGCAATGACAAGAGCTACATTTTGATAGTATTCTCTGCTGCTTGCACTGTGCAGAAGGTCAAGACTTTACTATGCATACTCCAATCTTTCTGGAGACTCACCACCTCCTCAGCTGCACAGTAAGCATTTCAGGTTATTTCTATTTTTATGAACTTCCTAGACACTTTCCTCATCTTCCATTTAAAAATGTATCTTTACTGTATCCCAGGCCCCTCCACCCCCTAAAGCATTTGCAACTCCTCTACCACTTTTGAAATAGATGCTGTATAGAACCAGAAGCTAGACTCTGCATTATAGCTTCACTACAGAGAGATCCAGAAGACAATGAGAGGAGGAAGCAGACTTGTATTTAATCAAGAGTTTATATAGTATGTTGGAATTTTTTTTTAAAGATACTTCTCAGTTACGTTTGACATATTATTTTCCTTCAACAGCTACATTTCTTAATTTGACATATTACAGACCAAATGAAGCTCTCTTCCCCTCTGCAGTTCCTCAGACTCCAGAAAGACTAGTTGCAGGATTAACTGCTCAACAGTGTCCATGTTTGCAAACTAGTTCTACTTCATATCCGCTTGACAGCCCACTAACAAAGCAAAGCAGGAATGCTTTCACCTGCTTGGGCACTGAGTTCTCCTGCAGCCAGACCTCAGAGTTGCATCAGTGATCTGCCAGCTGTGGTGCTGGAGCAGCACACCCTGGCCCAGGGGCTACAGAGGTGTCACGGCACAGAATTCAGCTCCGAAACAGCTTTGGTAAGAGACAAGAGTGGTTGCGAACATTTTTTTCATGAGTTTCCATAGCTTTATACATATAATATAAGCTTTATTAATTGCAAAAGCCTGACACTTATAACCAATCTAGAAACCTTCCAAAATATTGGAGACCTCGCTCCTTTTCCTTGTATTTCGTGCATGTGCTCCTCTGGTACACGTCGATCAAAAGAAATGCACCTGAGAAACAGTTTTTGGAGAAAACAAATCAACAGCAACAGTACGTGTTTGTCTTGAATTCTCAAGTGGTGCATTCCTACTAGGGATGTCTAGAAAAAGATCAATAACACACACACCTCTGTTGCTGTCGTGTTATGTGTGCATGACCAACTCCCCATTCCAACCTGCAGTAGGTGTAAGATGGGAGCCTAATGTTTGCAGCCCTTTGAGAACAAATAATAGGAAAGGCAGCACCCAGCTGAAACCACTGTATTTTTTCTATTCACATTAGGTTAAAACCCAAGCAGTTATAATTTTGCTATAGCTGACTCAGCCTGGATTTGAATCCAGGATCTAAAGGCAAATTAAATTTCACCATCCATGTTAAGAAAGCAATTCAGTTTCTGAACTGGATCAGCTTTGATGTCACATTACAGAATTAAGTTGAAATGTGGTTTGATGAAAGACTCCTGTTCAGCAGCAGATATAATTATCACACTGATCTTAATTAGATCATGAACTCGACTTTAGGATCCCCAAAGGAGTATTAGAAGCTTGGTCCAGTTACACTGAACTTGGTCCAGAACACTGAAGCTTATCCATCAAGATAAATATATTACCAGTTCTTTGATACAACAGATGCTTGATGAGTAACAGAGCAAATGCCTTTTTAACTATGATTTTTTAAAGGATTATTAAACTGCACTAAAGTGTATGCTGTTATCTTTGAAGGAAAAGAGTATAATACATGAAAAACAATTATAGAGCACATCAAGCACAATTTTTCAAGCACTAGTTTCAGAATTAAAAACATTTGAACAAAGGTTCTCTCTGTGGAGAGTCACTTTGTAACCAATTCAAAGCTTTAAATAGCTATTGTTTAAAAAAATTGTCAGCTACAGAAATTGTTTTCCCTTCAGATTCCAAATCCTGTCAGACCAGGGTGATTAAAATGTTGCATTAAAAAAAGGAGGGGGGAAGGAAAAGGCAATCTAATCACGCCTTATAAAAGTAAAACCAGCAACTCAATTTTTAAAGCATCGTGAACAAAAGGCTATAGCCCATCTATCATTCACATATGGATTCATGTGATGATTCTTCAATTAGAAATATTATCTGTACAGCAGCTGAAGACTGAGAACTGCTGATACACTGCAGATGAGAACATTTGCCGGTCTCTGGGCTCCAGCCTTTCTTAAAAAATGATGATCGCACAATATAGATTGCTCGGTTTATATGTGTATTAAGCTGCAATGCCAGCATTTACATTTGCAACATTACAATTTTGCTTTCTTAGGCTCAAGAGAATTTGCTGCATCTGGTAGATTTTATTTGCTTTGTATCTTAGGCAATTGTTATGAGCAAAGCACGAATAGGCAATATTATTGCTTAAAGTCCTTTGTTTTGTTGATTATCTCAGATACTACAAAAAAAAAAAGCAAACTTAGAGTGGGCCTATGAGATGGGTCATTCAGTGTCAGTTTGCTTGCATTATATTATCCCAGTGCTATTTTTATAAGGCATGTCCATCTGCTCCTTCATTTCTTCCACATGTATAGACCCAGAGAGTTTAAGATGCAACACCGGAGGGAAAGAAAAGCACCGCACACAGCAGTTACAGGCACTGTAAGGGAGGAAAGCCATTTTGGTGATTCAGACCGCAGCAAGCTGAGTGGTCCCCGTCTACCCTTGCACCCTGCCCCGTTGCCAAAGGTTACTGTCTCCAGTAAAAACATCCGTGCTGCAGCAGCACAATGTGCATTGTGCTGGCTCTACAGCCACTGCTTTCCCAGCCTGGCAATGCTCAAGCACACCCCAGCTTCAGTGTTTTAACACACTGTATGAACTGTGGCAGCTGCAGATCAGGCTACAGGGCAGTAACCTAGAGCAGCACACTAGGTAGCAAGAATGGTAACCTCCTAAACCTGTCTTTCTGAATCCTCAGCTCTCCTGGAATATTTCAAGTGCTTGCCTATTCCTATTTCATGGCTGGTAACCACATGCTGCAACCTAGAAAATGACAGAGAAAGGTAGCTACATAGATAGTAGCTGTGAGATAGCCTTACTAAATGGATATCTGTTCTTGGTGTTTCTACTAAGGATTCCTGCTCTATCAACCCCTAGTATGTGCTGAAGCCCAGGCAGCCTTCCCAGATGTCTCTCTAGTAATGCAGAAGCTGGAGACAGCAAGTTGGCTCTTGTAGATTTTTGAGCCATGTCAAAGTCTTTAATGACATGTGTCTATGTAGAGATTAGAAAAAGGGCTGCGATTAATTAAGAAGCTTCTTACTTCGGTGATCAATCTTGGAAAGATCTTCATAGAAGGCAAATATTGTTAATATATTTGTTTTACTCTGCATACTTTGACAAACTCATGTCCATGTTATTGATGTCATTCACAGAATTGCTTTCAGTGGGTGAGACCGGCCACAGCCATGAAATCTCCCTGTAGCTGCTATACAAAGGAAATGAAAAGTCATGAGTGTATGCTCGGTGTTATTTCCCTACTTTATTACAGACATTAGTGAATAGAGAGTAAGTAATTTACACTCTTATTTGAAAAATACTTTTTATCCTCTACTGAATCTCCTGTTCCAAATACGCTGTGAATAACCAAGTCTTCTCCATTTACTTGGAAGTATATTGCCATTTGAATTACTTAAAACTTCATTACATTTGTATAACATTATAGATTGCTTCTGTCTGTAAAAAATTAATATTAACTAAAACTGAAGACACTTACAGGGACAAAGCAAGGAAACAAAACTGCAGACTGGTACAACAGCTTACCAAAGTAATATAACATAAATATTTAGTTCAAGATTTTATACATCATGGTGGGACACACTTATCAAAATATTTTAAATTTTCTGACTTCAGGTGGCATCACTAAGATCTGTGAAGAGTTTTAATGACACAAAAATTTAAAATTTATTTTTGTTTTCAATTAAAGCCATCATCTTAATATTTTTTAATAAAAAAGGTTTAAGAGGTCAAAATCAAAATAAACTGCTTACCTCTTTCTATGGATTCTTGTTTAGAGCTTTGTTGAAATTTTCAGCTTTGATTGCAAATGGGAAACATTTCAAAGACAGAAAAAAACACTACCCGAGGAAGTAGTTCAATTTATGGTAGAACTGGGTGAATTACTTGTAGCAGACAATTTATTATGAGATCACAAAAGGCAGAGATTTCTTCCTCTCAGAGAAGATAACTGCTGTTTTCTTTACTCAGTCAGGATATCATTCATCAAATGCTTATTTTAGCTGCTATCACACACCTATAGGCTTCTGTAATGATAGTTCTAACATCCACATTCTGTGACTGGTCATCTGAATCAATAATTTATACTCATTCAGCCACAGAACAGCAATCTCAAAAACCAAGAAGAAAAGTATCACTAAGGCCTGGTGGTTTTCACTGGCTGCTCCAATATATGGAACACTGAGGCAGTGATCTGCAGAGATTTGACTCCAAAGTTTGTGCAAGTTTTACTGACTGGAAAAACTGAGTTACAGCATGCCTTCAACAGGAGGAAAAAAAAAAAGCATGGGGAAATAAAAAGAGAGAGAGAGAGAAAGACAAGTCATTTACATCTCCTTACAGCCACAAGGGCTCAGCGGCCAAGCTAACTGACGTGTCTCCTAGGATGTGTTTGTACAGCAAATAACAACTGTGACTGCAGTCTAGGGAGCTGCACAAGCTTTAATCAATCTAACGTGCACCTCTAGCAATAACAATGTAGAAGGACCAGTTCAATTTAAGCTTAAGATACAATGGACCTCATTAAGTGAGAGCACTTTCATGATGATTAGCATATTATTAACTCCCATATATTAGCACCACCTCTTTTATCAATTCATTTGACCACACTGGAAAGACAATACATTCAAAGGCACCACTATTTTGATTAACTGATTTACAAGGGGCTCTGAAGGATATACGTCTCAGTTCCCACTAAACAAAGTAACTAAAACATTTCCTGACGTTCAGAACTCATTAATTGTGGTATCCTGAGCATTATTACATTACAGACAGACAAAGAAAATGTCTTTGAACGTTATGCTCACCTTGAACAGTAAATAGAAGCTATATACAATGTAGCAACTGCATTCAAGAATAACTACAAGTTTTGCAACCTACAGCACTGTCACTCCAGTGATATGGAACCTTTGTTTCAGGAACAGACTCTGAATCTATTGTTTGCTTAATGAATTCAAATCAGCAACTGCACAGAGCCACAGAAGCAACAGTGCCAATGGCAAGAGACACTACAGAAATGGAAGTCTATAAATTTCAACAACATTAGACTAAAAATGCCAAAATATTCTTAGGGCTCACTAGGCTCTTGAAACTGCTGCATTAATCACATGGCATTCCTTCTTTTCAGTGAGTCTCTGATCTGATCACCCTATCAAAGGAAATGGGAAGAACAAAAATAAAAAAACAAAGCCAAAAGCCCCCAATGACTGTACCTCTCCATTCTACAAGCCCTGACTTTAAAGCTTCTATGGGCTGCTGACAAACGTTTTCAAGAGCTGAGTCCTGACAGGATAGGAGGTATTCTAGGTTCTTCTTTGCCACTGGAGGTTGATTTGTTCTAGGTAGTTCATGACAGGTGAGAACACCGGAAAAACAGTACTATTCCAACTGTCATTTCCCCATGCAGTTTGAACATTGTATTTAGTGAGGGCTATCCCAACATTTGCATAAATCTTTGAAAAGAAATTAAAAGTGACACATATACTGATGAAAAACAAGATACTCTTAGAGCAGTGAAATGTGTTGTTTGGATAGTCTATACCGAGGAAGGAATTCAATCACTGCCACAGACAATCCTGTTAAACAAAAACATGTGAATAAACATTTGGTGATTTGGTAAACACTGGTCCAAATAGCCATACACAGACTGAAAGGCAAAATCAAAGGCTTCATGAACATAAAGCTTTACTTTGGCAGGTGTTAAGTGCATTTTGTACGCTGCAAAAAATTGTGACTGGCCCTCTGTCTCAGGAAGAGTATCACTTACTTTCTTAAAGCTGAATTTCACCCAACTTTTTATTGTTATTTTCAGATCAAGAATAGATTTCTGCACTGCAGATGCACAATTCTAACCCAATAGAAACCTGACATAATTCAGACAAAAAAACATATCTTCCTGTGTTACTAAATCCGTATCTTCTAGTTTTCAAGCTGTTCTGTGGTTGCATTAGAATCACTTATTTCATTTATACTTTTTTCTTGATTTGCTTCTTTTCTAAAAGTCTTCAAACACTTGTCGAGTCTTTTTAGGAATATATCTACATCTTGCTTTTTAATTCCAATTGCTGAGGCAGCATTGAGGTAAGCACAGGGGTAGTCATTTGCATGTGACATAAAGCCTTTAAAAGTGTAGTTATTCACAGTTTGTACAGACCCACGTGGAACAACCCTGAAACAAACAAAATTATGATTCAGTTAAAGCTGTCTTGGACATTTTATGGGATACTCTAGGTTGAACACAATTACACAAATTCCTACTGAAGTAGTGAGTTGCTATTCCTACCACTGACACTCAAGCACCAGCACAACATGTAAAAATCTTTTGAAATGCTGGGTCAAACAGTGTATACTGCAAAAGAATTACTTACATAAAAAAAGGGAAAACCTGAAACCTTTACATCAGGCAAAGAATTGGAGAGTTTTAACTTCAAAAATTCAACCTGTTGAATAATTTTACCAAAGATGGCTACAATTACAGGACAAGCCAAGGTTAGGACAGGCAAATTAAAAAGAGCATCTAACTACAGCACATATAGATTTACTGTCATTCATCTGTTTAGGAAGTGGAATAATCCAAGCTAATGAAGCATGCCTTCTGATGTGGAAACATTCAGCTCTGCTACAAAAAAATGACAGTAAGTCTATGGCAGAAGTGAGCACAGCAGCAGTAATATTCAGATTAAGGAATGCTGCCAAAACAAATTTTAAATCATTCTCTTCTAAAATGTTTAAAAATTATTTGGCTTGCATTTCCATGTAACAGTGTCTCTAAGAATAAATTCACCTCAGACTGGCTCAGGTTGTAGATTTCTAATGATTTTGATTTTTTTTTAAATACAATTAGTTTCAGAAAGCAGAATTTTCTTCCATATGACAAAAAGCTATGTAGGGCATTAAAAGCTTATTCCCCTGATAACCAGTATAACCATATTCGTGCTGCAATAAACAAAACAAATATCTTCCCTCAGTAGCTTACACCTGAACTATAAGATCAGACAACATCTGGAAACTAAATGAAACCAAGGGGTACTAGGGAATAATGACACTAAATTAAATGGGCATAGATTATCTATTCAGCCTACCAAAGTTAACAAAGGGAGCCTCGCCGCTAACTCAGGTAGGGAGACATTAGTTGATAACACTGGTGAAGAAGGGTGATTATTCTCTGACTCATTATTGCCTGACTGCATTCTGTAATCATGAGACAACTGGTATAAAACAAATCCTATTGGGTTTCATAAAATATATGCCAAAATAACTGATATGCTAAAATATATTCTAATATAACCCCCACAAATTTTTCTAATTCAGAGTATCCTTACCTTGCTCCAGAAACTTGTCTTGTGAAGAGCATAGATCCAAGCTGGGTAACAGCAGCATCATTACTTTCATCTAGATTCTTCAGAGACATGGCTAAAATAACATAAGGTCAGGTTAAAACTGCTACAAAGCCGCTTTTTCTCCAAAGAATCATCACAAAGGACAAATTGCTTTCCAACAGAAAGGATCTAGCCAAATATTTGTGTTCAGATACAACGAAAAAAAGAAATGCCATAATTTTTAACTTTTCCAAAAGCTGTCAGAGATTACTTCTCTGATTAGACTGTGTGCAGATTCTGCACAGGTGGGTAGTACTACTTTGGTGTTCAGCAGAATTTTTGATTAGAACAAATACCTTGAGGAGGAATTCCATAATCTCTTTTAAAACACTAAGATGACCAGTAAAATAATTACACTATAATTTATTTTTAAATGCACTTTATAGAAAGTATTACTATATGCTAACATCTTCTGACTGTCTTGATTACAATAAATGAATATGTTGGACAGGAGCAAAATAATGGGCCTAACTTACTACTCTACTTTTATAGTAGGTGACCTCATTGGGTTCAATGGTTTCATATCAGCCTAAGAATAATTTAATAGTGTAGTGAACAATGTTTAATATATAGGAATGGTATGTGAAAGTGCATTATGAATGCACAGTATATTAGAATTTTTTTAAAAGATGAAACCCCAACAATTACCTAAGGAAATGGGATTATGTGATGTGTCTAACAGTCTCTCATTGTGGTTATCTGCCAGCTTCTTCAGCTCACTTGAAAGATAGGAAAACATCTCCTGCAAAAAAAAAGATACAATTTTTTTTATTAGCTATCAAACAGAGAAAATAGCACCTATCTCACAAAACTGTTAAGTCTCCATTACATGCTACAGGTGCCCAGCTGATTCTCTTTTCAAGTGTACCAAGTAAGTGGACTAGACAATTCTCTGAAATAATTCTATAAAGTAACAGCTCCATTTCCAGAACACTGTTCTTATCTCTCAAGCTGATACAAAAGTCTCTATCTGGTTTAATATATGTCCTTGGGATGTCAGTCATTCTCTCTGTGGCCCTGAAATCTAGGGAGGTAAAAACTTGAAGAGATTCCCACTGCACAGCAGGTCTTACCCCACCCCACTGCTGCAAGAGCCTTCCCCTGCCCTGGCTCCCTAAACCACTGAGAATGAACTGCTGCCATCACAGACGGCCACGTTACGGCAAATGGCTCCTTACTTCGTTTTCTCTCTATTAATACATTCCAGACTAAAACCAGCACATTTTGTTTCTAGTATCATACAATCACAATTCTCACTAGTGCAAAGACTTACTTCTTTTTCTGTATGAGAATACAACTCCAGCCTCTGAAGGAGGCTGTGAGTACACATTTGATTGAATCTTCTTTCACACAATATATACTCTCCTGAATACTCAGCTCTGTTGTGCAGCCTGTCCTTTTCCTACGACCCCCCTCCTGTTCAAGTTGACTAAAAGAACAGAGATATCTGAATTTCTGCTATCAGTTAACTGGATTGCACCTTTATTATGAAACTGTCACAAGACATTCATAAATGTTTTGGTTGAGATACAAGTCACACTGGACATAAAAGGTTGCTACTCTTACTTCATCTGTATTTTATTTCCTCCCTCTTCCCCAGTAGTAATCTATGATAATTGCTCATGCTTTTTCTCAGTCCAATATTTTCCTCTTCAGATATCAGCTCAAAACACTTATTGACAGACTGAAAATAAACATCATTCTTCTTATTGTATGCTTTGGCTTTTTTTCCATTCTTTTTAATGCTTAGTCTCTCATAAAAATTAGCAAAAACATACAGATATTAAACAGTCTTTTTAAAAGATATTAAACACCAGTTTTTTCCTCTTTCTGGTCATAAAAATTGTGCTGCTGATCTGCTTCAGTGTGACTGCCTGTTTAAGCAATTTCCGGACCTGACAAGTGATTTTTCATTCTTTAAATAGAGTTGCCTCTTCTGTTTGTAGACCAGTATCCTACTCTGACCTATGGACTCTGACAGATACAAATTATAGCTCGTGAGCAAAATTATGTTTTTGAACAGAACCTCCCCAAGGTCTTACAAAACCAAATGAGCTTTGTGGTACCCAAGCTGGAATAATGTTACAGCCACTTTTCTTGAACCACTGCAAGAAGCCCAGTCTCACTTCACGAGTGACCAAATGAACACAGCTCCTGACCTGATACCACAGAATGAATTCAGACAGAGAAGAAAAAAGTATCCTCTTACTGTCTAAATGAATTAGGCTATTGATTCAACTATCAACAAGAACATAAAGCTTCTGTAATACTTGGAACAACAAAACTTTGGGGAGGAATCTATGGTTAATTATCAGAACTGGAAATTGGTGAAAATATTTCTTATTTCTTGGAAATCAAGTAATTTTATGGTTTCCATTCATCAGAGCTAATTTACAGTTCACCCACAGAAGCTGAAAAACATTTATGTTTCAAATGTTCACACAGTTTTGCCTTTGTTCTGGTCCCTCACTGAATATAAGCACATTACTTACTTGTTACTTGCCTTCCACAATAAGTGCTAGCCATTTTATTAGTATTTTTTTCATACAAGTAATAAATTAATTTGTGCTCCCTCTGCTGGCTATTTACTTGTACAACTGAAGTAAACTATTACAGAAATAGATAAATTGTGTTTACTATGGAGATATTATTGGTGAAATTAGTACTGAGAAAAAATATACTGGAACAAGAACCAATTCCTAAGTAATTAATTTTTATGTGTCGTACCTAGGGAATTCTCTGATAAATCTCTCACAGTATTACTGAAAGGACTGCAAGTTGGTATAACAAGTTACCCACTATATAAATGTACTAAATTAAATTACATTTATTAAATGAAATTAGGTTACTAGGTGGGCTTTTACATACAGAGGAATTTGTTAAAACAAGGGAAAATAGAAAGATGGCAACAAAAAATTAAAGTTATTTTCATCAGTTAGACCGAAGCTACATGAACACAAATTCATAACTTATTTTTATGAACAATACTCTCTTGCATCTTTCCACTGGAAGTCCTCTAGGTATTTTATAATTTCAGAAGTTTGTTACAAAATAGATTAACTGCCTTTCCAAAAAAAGGATAAAAGCAATATTTTTGTGAGGTCAAATCTATAACCAACCTCTATTATAAAATATTTCTCTTATATGGAAAATTTATAAGCACCCTAAGCAATTATGTATAAATGAGCTCTTACATAATAGATTTTCTGTAGCAGGGACTCAAGTTTTTTCCAACAAAGCTAACTATTATGCTAAAGTTGCACCACACAACCTAGGCACCAAATGTCAGTTAAGTTTCATTATTTAATTCACTCTTTCCCCTTAGAAACTTATCACAAAACCTCATCAGGCTAGAGAAATGAATGCTAAACTATGTGGAAATGTCTTGCACTTCTGGTCCCTCCAGGACCAAAATCAACAAAACACCTTAAAAATTACAAAGAACAAGTCAGCAATGCTGTATGCACTAAATATGCCAATTAATTCAATTATTTGGACAAAACAGCCTAATTCCACACACATATACAAACATATTTTCAAGAAGTGCTGTAACAATCATTACAACAATCATTTGAATCATACCATATTTACATTATAAAATTATTTTTAACAGAAGCTACACTAGGATTCTTCATTTGATGCTCCACTGTAATAGGCACAATTCTTCTTCCAAATGAAAATAACTAAAGGGAAACAAGTAAAGAAAAAGCCAGTAACTCCAGAGGAAAAGAAGAGGGGGCTACTAAATATACTGTCAGTCCCATACCAGGTGACAAAGAGGCAACTGATGAAGACCAGAAAAGTTTTTGTGGATGGTTGAAACTATCCTAGCTGGCTCTAACCACCCAGTTTGCTTACAGGGTGAGGTTGTAACACTCTGCCTTCCTCCCTGTTTAACTCTCATCTGAAAAGATGAGCCACCCTCAGAGAGCAGCCATATAGCTGCTTATGGCACTAAAGACAACACTGCACAAGAGTAATTTTACAACCTCTTCATAGTAGACACAGATGCCAACTCTCCTATGCTGTACCTGAGACCCATCTGGTCCCATCTTACTTTGCAGCAGCCCCTGCTGTTTATCATGCAACCATCACAGCCACTCTTCTGCTCTGTCAGACTGACCAGCTGCATCTGAGCTGTGATCTGATCAGACCACTTCCTGCAGCCAAAGAGAAGCTGCAGTGCTGAGGATCGAGATCAAGAAAGATTACTCTCTTGAAATGCAGGCAAACACACGATAGAAGCTGTATGTGTACATGTGTGACACCTGTATATACCACATGCCCTCCTAGATAGATCCTCCTGCCTTGCAAGGATTGTGTTCTGAATTTATACTAGAAAGTTTAAAAAAATAAGAAATTAATTACAGAACCTTTAAACCTTCATATTATATGTATCTAACATATGTCATTAAACAGAAAGTACCCAGTAAGTCTCGCCAAACTGATATGGTAACGCTAATGCTGACATTCACATTTTTTAAAGGTGTTTCTTAACAACATCAATCGACACATTTCCTTTTCAGCACTTGTGAGACCTTGAGTTCAGGCTCCTTGCGATCCATACGTCTCAAATACATGCTGTAACTACGTAAGCCTCTTTGAAATTTCCAATCATGCTTGGCACTTGTCTAACTACGCAACACCATTTAACACAATTTTCTTAAAACTATTTTGTCTCCAGCTACTCAAAAGTTTGAATATGGTTCCACACGTTTCACATGGGGAAAATCCTGCAACATTCCCACATTTAACAAAATATAGTGTAGTAAGCAAACTAGACAAAACAAACAAACAAACAAACAAACAAAAAAAAAAAAACAAAAAAAGAAAAAAGGAGTAACAAGTGTCTATTTTACTTTAAGAATATCTGATTTTTTTACATTTTTAATATCCATCATTAAATGGCTTTCCTCTTCTTCCATCGTAAGTAGGACAGCAATATAAACTCACACTGAACTGTACAAATAATTTATTTCAATCAGAACAATTACATCAATGACAACTCATGAAACATAAGCCCAGTATTTTACTGAATTGTAAAAACCAAACAATTTCCTCCCACTCCATGTGATTTTAAATATTTTAGATACATGCTCAATAAGAACATAAAAATAACGCCAGTTGCACTCTCAGAAAATATACAGACAGATGGATAGCAATATAAAAAGCTCCATCACATCCCAACTAACACAGAAATACATTTAAGAAAATGAGAATTATCTTCATTGTTAGATTAAGAAAAGTTTAATGAGGAAATCCATAACTGCTGAAAACAAAATGAAGCCATCATCTCTCTGATAATACCAATATAAAAATTAGTTAAATGGATTAAAAGGACCAGTTATTAAATTTGGTCTGTAGGGTCCTGAATGTAAACCCTGAATGTAGGGTCCTCGCTCTCCATTAAAACTGAGGTGACAACTAAGTCTGCTGTTTAGGCTATTACAGAGTGCAACAAATATATTTGCTAAACGTGGCCTGGTTTAGACACACATACATGAAAATAGCAACTTTTATGATCTGGAAACGCGGGATATGGGACATTTATGGGACCTCTACTGAGGCATCAAGGAAGTTGCTACAAAAACTTAACCTTTACATAGATGTTATGAGTTATTTAAAAGCAAAGATATTAACAAATTTGACTATGGACCACCTATCATCTGCATTGCAAAAGGACCTGGAATCGCCTACTGAGATCAGAAAACCACTGTTGTAAACACCACAAACACATAAAAAGGAATACTGAAAATTCAGAACAAGTGAGAAAACATTACTGTTGGTAGTCTTCCATCCTTTCTCTGGAATATCAGATAGATACAACTGTTGAAAACATTCCTTACTAAATTTCATATATAGCCACCTTCATTCAGCTACTTGGACAGCATGTTTGTGTTACTCCCTTTCTGTCCTGTCCTCAGATCCATTGTGCCATTTTATTCCTTCATATCATAATAATCCCATACTCCTGGACAACTGCACACTCCCCAACTGCCAGCTTGTCAGAAAAATTCCACTCCCTGTACGTGCTCCTCTCCCCTGCCTATATTTAACAGTTCACCCGTATAAAAGAAAAACTGGGCAGACTATTTCTTTCCTCGGTTGTGTAAGATTTCTCTCTTTTCAGTAATATTCTGGTCTTTCTGGCCTAAGGTCAAATAACCTGAAATAATACCCATGCGAATAAGGATCAAGCAAAAAGAAAAAGAAAAAAAAATACCTGAAGTTTTTATAGTTGATTTTTTGCGTGAGTAGGTGCAGCTGCACCAATATAAAAACGAGTACTCAATGTCAAGCTATAAATAGCTCCTGCTGGAAGCCTAATAGCTCTGCCTTTGCTTCCTCAGAGCACAGGCAATAAACTATCACTATTACATTTTTACAATTCAGGAACAAACAGATTTAAGCAAAAATGTTTCCATTTCTACAGCAAATCCAATAAAAGAAACATATTTATGCCATATATAAGGCTCTCTTTACAGAGTATACTCACATTTGAAATTGAAAGACATGAAGTTGTAAAAATATAATCCTTCATTTACTTTAGAATTCTACTTCCAAGAAAGTGACATGACTCAAAATATACAGCTATTTGTTAAGATACGTTATTTATGAAAGAATTATTATTTACGATTTGGACAATATTTATACTGCTCTTTATACATCTGCTACTGTTGTATATCTAACATCAAAATCAGCTTTCTGGAACACACAATAAACTCACTTGAGATTCCTTTGGATATGAGAGTAAAAAGGGAAAAACACAATTTGCTTTTAATGAAGACAGAAACCATATGTGGCAATACATACGACAATCCAGAATAAAATGCTAGAAACCATATTGCAACAGTGGCAAAATTGGCAACCAATTTCAGTGTTCCACAAGCCATGTTTTTGTTTTAGTTGCACATATTTTTCTTAGTCATTGTAAGGCAACTAAGTTGGTTTGGTTTTCCACAGTCTAACTATTCCTATGGTAGCTCAATTCCAGTACAGAATTTCTGGACGCCTCTACAAGCAGCTAGAAATAAGTCACAGCATCCAGCACTATTGCTCTGCCATGTAATCAGAGACAGCAGCAAGCTGTCAGCAAGAAACAACTGGAATGTAGTTTATAAATAAAATAATGAAACAGATAATGCATTGTTTAAAACTATTAACTTAATAGTACTTAATTTACAGTATTTCCTTATCTAAAGCCTCCACAAAAAGAATCCTCTGTGTTACTACACAGAGAGCAAAATCAGGCCTCTATTATTTCCAGAATTAAGGATAACTCAAGATGTACAGATTCCAACCCAACACTCATTGAACTTTTGTGCAATGCAGTTATATCCAACTTAAAACACATAGTCTGTGAAAGGCAGAGAAGAAACCTAGCTCTGTATCTAGATGAATACCTTAAGTGACAGTATTCTTCTCTCTTTGTGGCAATGCACAGTGTTTATAACCTAACCAGAAGTTGTGATTCTCCAGAGAATATGGTACACAATCATTTAATTAAACACTATCATAGCACAAAGGCACAATAGGGACAAAAATGGACACTCAGAGTAACCCAGGGTCTGTGCTCTTCCTATCTCACGTCCTGGAAGCACTGTGACCACGATAACACAGTATAGTACTTCTCAGATTAGGCTTTTGTGTTCCTAAGTTACATATAGGAACAACAAATATGAATACTGTACAAGATAGTACAGGACCTCAGTTTAGCTATCTGGTTTGAACAAACAACAACATGGAAATCATGCTTACTCATAAGTACCATTTAGCCAAGAAGTAATTATATCATACTGCCTTTCCAGATTCACAGCTGTGAGCTCAGAGTAAGTTCAATGGCTTTCTAGACAGAAACTGGATTTACTAAACAAAGCAGTTTTGCAACAAGACTTTGTTAAGAGCTGACTTCAAGAAAATGCTGCTTGCCAAAAAGCTTACCTTTCTCTCTTTCAGTAACTTTTTTTAGCCACTGGTACCCAAAGACAGAAGTGTAATGAGGACATCTAAGGAAGGAGATGCAGATGCTCTTCCTGAAAAAAAAACCAATATGCAGATTAAAGTGGCAAAAATAAACTTTATGTGAAAGAAAGCTGATAATCAAGTTTTCTACAGTTATTTCATATGGCTGAAATCAGACCATGGACTAGTTACCTGGATACATTTTGCTGATCTCCTGAATGAAGGACTCGTTGAAGCCAGCAATGATAGCACCACCTACTGGAACCATAAAATTTTTGTCCAAGCTCTGAACAAAAGCATCTATTCTGCCCACTCGAGCACCCTTTGTCAAAAACAAACAAACAAACAAATCCACAGCATATATTAGAAAAAAGGGAAATGTGATAGCATCATAATTACACAAGAATGTAACAAACCCACATATAATTCCTGAAATGTTCTCAGATCCTGCATTTATGGAAAAAAATAAAAATCATAACATTACCTTTTCTTAGCACTGCTCACTAGTAGTACCATTGTCTGCTTGACACAGTACCTTAAAAATTCCCATTCTTCTGTGATTTAAAATACTGATTTTAGTTCTCACAAGTCCAAGTGGAGCTCATTTTCAACAACCAAAAAGTAACTCCTCGAAATTTAATGGGAATTTTACAGTTAAAACTGTTCAACTCAAAAGACTTTTCACAGATTCTCACAGTAAAGGACTACAAGTTAATGCTTCATTAGCAAAGATTTCTCTCTATACACGTATAAGTTTGCATTAAAACAAATGAGCTGTTATAGCACTTCTAAAGCTACTTGCAAAATCCTGATCCCTATAACTTCTTACAGCAGATATCCCCCCACTTCAGAGAAAAAAGCATCTTTATACCTAACCACTCAGATTTTCTTAAAGGAAAAAGTCTATATTCTGCAGTACACCTTCAATTTGAGTAATATGCAACAGGGAACCGTATAATTAAAAACTATGCAGCATAAAAGAATCTGAAAACTATATTAAACCCCAAAAATACTAAAGCACATGCAAACACATACAATTTAAAGTGCTACAAACTGAATGCAAGAAAGAACAGAGTTAATACCTATGGCAAACAGACTGAAAAAAGCAGATCCAACTAAACCACATTTATTATTTCTATGTTTTGATAGCTTAATGCATGTGAGATCGGAAGAAGCACTCCAAGTTCGTCAGCTTTTTGATGGGAAGATGAATGCCAGAAGCTACTGTTTGATTTAATTGACAGGAGACCACCACAGGAAAAGCATGGCAAATGAAATGGTCTCAAAAGCTTTTCCCCTGCGATACTCTCGCAAGTTCTATTCACAACTGTGCTCAGCATGTACATATTCCTAAGTATTCATTAGTAACTACTCCCTCATAAACAGCACATTTTCTAGCACACTAAATAAATTTTTGTAAATAAATGTAAAACAAATCAGAGCTCAAATGTATACATTTGCATAAGCAAGGAATAAACAAACAACTTATCAAGTCTAGAAAAAAATGCAGAAACCAACAGTAAAACTTCTATTTGTAACTTTATAGTCTGAAACGTTTATCATTAGATACACTTCATGCAGCAAACCCCAGCATTTCCACAGCCCCCTTCATGTTAGTTTCTCACTAAACTTTTGCAAATGAAATAAACGTACCAAGTACATTACAAATAAAGTGCATACCTTTTTCTATTTCACAAAACACTTCAAGTTTTGTTAAATTCCCTCTCTTTCAAAATTTATAAATGCCAACAGGATGTTCCTGTTACAATCATGTCTGTGCCCTGTAAATAATGTCTTAGCAATCAGAAAAAAGATTACTAGCATATTTTAAATTAATAATAGTTCAAGATTCCCTGAATCCTGTTAAAATATAATCCCCTATTTTTTGAATAGGCAGAGAGAAAGGAGAAATATTAAAGAACACCACACGTACAATACAATTAGCAAAAATTCAAGAATTCTGCTTCATGACTGATCTAAGATATTAAGCAACATCCTCTTCAAACTAAACAGCATCAGAAATTAAACCTTTTTGAACATAACATTGAACTTAAACCAGTTTCCTCAGCCGTTCTCTATGCCAACAATATTTCGACATCTATAAAGTGTTGCTGTAGCATCCTGTACCTTCCATTGAAAATCTGTAACTCACATTCTGTTGAAGGCTTAATCCCTATTCAAGTATGTATTTTACTTTTAGTCAACAAGCTTACGAAATATTTTAAGAAAGCTTATTGAGGACATTTTTTCCATTATGAAAGACACATGAACATACACAAAACCTAACTAAATGTAGGGTTATTATACAAAAAGCACATAATAGAAAAAATATTATTTTAAAGTTCTATTTCCCTCTGGTTTTTTTTTCTCAGAAAATTGTTCAAATGTCAGACATGCATGGGATTACTCTCAACAGCATGAGGCATCTGATAAAATCTGCTAGGTTGTCTACAATCAGAGATTTACTTTACTTGCTAAAAAATATTATTGGAAATACACAGCTCCTACCTGCTGGATAAGATGCATACATTTTGATGACTGAACTCCATATGCATTGTTAACAATATGGGGAATGCCATAACTGGCACAAATCACTGCCAGTTCCTCCAGCCTGTGAGCATAAAATTGTAATTTAGAGAAGCATTGGTAACTGTAACTCATCTTATAAATCAGACCATTAAAAGACTGAAGAGTCTACAAGGAGGTCAGAATGAGAAAGGTAATGATTAGTACCTCAAGGCAGTACTTGTCACCTTAAACTATAAAGGTTAAGGTAAAAATTCTATTGCCTTTTACATATATTGCAAATTGTTAATCTGGTCTGAAACTTTTCATGCTTTTTTTTGTCTGGACACCAGTAATTACATCACAAACCATTTTGCTTCAGGTATAAGCTTTTTTTTTTTTTTTGCTACTTTAATGTTAACTAAGAGAGCTTTAGCTAATCACACTTTTTTTAACTTTTCCTCTAGTATTCAACATGATATCGGTCTAGGGAAGTTCCAAGAGTGTCTTGAGAATAAAAAGCATCATATAACAGGAAGTTTTTACATGCTTCTGTTTAATTCAAAGAACTAGTATTTCAATCCTTTGGCTGGAATCTCATTTGCATGTTTCAGACAAACTAATTAAAAGAAAATTCTTTAAAGGAATGGGGAGTCCTAAAATGTCTGAATACGGAGATTGACAAATTGAAACTTTGTTCAACTGTTTACAACTTCACTTACATTTGGAATCACCTGAAATCACAATGAGCTCAGCCTGGATTGATTAATCAGTCAAATTAAAATTTATGTGAGTGCACAGATCATTTTAGGTAAGGGCCTTCAGCTTTTTAAACATACACAGAACTTAGTACCCTTTTCTGAAGCACTCCAATGATGCTCTGTTTTTAAAAAAAACTCATGATTTTCCCCAAACTTGTGAACCTATTTTAGAAATAAGATCTATTTGAAAAAATAAGGTAATATATAGTCATTTAAGTGATGATAAAAGTAATATTGCCTCTAAAAAAAACCCCAGGAAACTCTACTTCTAATGTATTTTTACTCTCTTTTTGTACAGCCCCTCACTATAATGTACTGACATTCATATAAAATCTGACAGAGTATGAAAACATTTTCCAAGAGGTGACATTCCTTTGCATTCTATTTCTATTACATTGTCTAGTGTTGTTCTGCAATGCAAAATTCAGCTGCAAATGTCATAGTAAATTTTCTGAACCTCAATCCTTAGGAAATCACTATCACCATATTATCCTTAAAGAAATCAAAAGTATTTTACAATTAGGAAACACCAGTAATGTAATGTACATGTTGATCTTCTACAGTCAAGATATTTGTCAGGAGCTGCATGTCCAATAATTTTTCATATTTATTAACATCCTGAACTCTGTAACAGTAACAGAATACTTGAGGAAACAAAACAATATGCAGGGCAAAGCTTTTGCCTTCTGATCTGCTGATCTTAATCAGACTCATTAGTCACCTTCTAGAGAGAATCAAAGTAACACAGTTCCCCTCTTACAAGCTTTTTTTGGGGTGTAGGCAGAGAATTTCATCAAACTGGAAACACAGAGGGTGTACAGCTATATATGTTTGTCTCTCTCACCTCTTGAGACTTAAAGGAGCAATAAGCTAGCTTCTATAAGCACTGAAAACAGAAAAGTCTCTTATTTTCTTCCTAAAAATATTCTACTGAACAATTAGATCCATATTACAATACAGAATGAGAATTCTACAGTTTGAAGAGAGTGTGTTAATATGCAAGAGAAGCAAACAATGATGCATAGCACTTGTCTTCTTCCAAGGCTTAAAATGAGCCATTAATAGTGCTGCTAGTCACATCATAAAGCATTAGTGTAAGTTGGCTATTACTCAAGTTCTTAATAGTCACAAATACAGAAATATTTCACAATTTTTTCTCTCCTGTTTGTGAAAGTTCATGAAAAGAAAGCTTTGCTCTTTTTTTCTATTACTGAAAGTAAAAAGATACAGAATTCTGCTAAGTACATAAACCAACTGAAAAATAACACTTTTTTCCCTTCGGTTCTCTTAAATCAGTAGTTTCAGAAACACCTCACAGCAAGAGCAGGTAAAATACTCTCTGAGAACTGATGTCTCTCTGAGCAAGAGTGTTTATACACTAGCGAATTATTCCCACAAAGTTAAACAATACTTCAAAGGAAAGCTATATGCACACAGCCCTAAAACTACTTAAAATTTTAAAACACCACCACCACAACTAAATAAAGCCTTACAAATGCAAGATATGTAAAAACAGACATTTAAAATGGCACCCTCCAGAAATGCTGTACAGGGTTTTCCTTCCTGCAGGAAGATGAATGTTACGGCCTTCAACAGTTGACAGTATCCTTTAAATAGAAAGTGCATTCAAATCCTCCTATATCTGTGGTATATCATAACACAGTGCCACTACCTAATAATTCATCTCTTAGTTGTAGAGGACAAAACAATCGCATGTCAAAAAGAGGAAGCAGATAAGGAAAAGATTCATTTACCTGAGCTATAAAACAGACCATTCAATTTTGATAGCTGTGATTTAAGTTAGCCAATAAATCTGCAAGTCAACTTCAAGCCATGTTCATACTACTCTGACAGAATTATATGGTTTTAACTTCCCTCTAGCAACTAGGTTAACATATGATAGATACTGGGGGTTTTTTTAAAGGTAGGAAAAGAGAGTGAAACATATCTTTACTTGCCACATTTCAGAGTCAATAATTTTCTTTCACACACTTGCAAATAGTCAACTAAATTTTCCAAATAACAAAGTAATTAACAAAGAAGCACACACTGCAGAGGAACTCTAAATGTCAGTCTTTTCAGTTTTGTGATAAATTAAAAACAGTTGAAATGAAATTACTAAGACACTACATTTAAAACCATGCAAAAAAAGACATTAATACCTCCTACTTTAACAAACTACATAAAAGCTGATAAAAATATACCTGTTGAATCATAAAACCTAAGGAATTTGCTTCTTCATACTTATTTTGCAAGCAAATATAGAAAGCAGGTTTTGCAAATAACAACAATGCTCATTTTGGGCAAATGACTCAATATGCCAAGTACTTCAGGCACCTCTCCTCCAACATTACACTTTCAGATTGAGAAGTTTCATAACCAATGCACAGGTTGAAATAATGTCTCAGATACTCTATTTTTCATTCATAACCACAATGTTTTTGTATTAACAGCTTAGGAAAATTCATCATTGGCTGTAGGAGAAGAGTAGAAAAGGCAACAGTAATGTTAAAATGTTACTGTTTAAATATAGCCATGGAGTTATATTTACTGGACTATGTCTCTGTGAAAGTCTTACTTTTACTACTTCAATGAAATTATTAAAAAGCCACTACCAAATTGACATTAATTTCACCATAAGAGATCATCATTAACCTCAGTTATATGGCAGAAGAAAAACCTTCTGCATTATTCTCACCCTTTTAATATACTTTTCTGAAAGTGGAACACTCTTCAGCCAAGGTGATTAAAGTACCTTTAACTAATTGTTGGCAGAAGCAATTTTAAGAAGATGGACATTCAAAACATGAAGGTTTTGGTCTGCTGGGTTTTGTTTGTTTTTACTGTAACAAATAACACACTTCTTACAAAGACTGCTTACCTATCAGGTACCCTTGGAGCAAAACAAGATGTTGTGGAATGCACACAAAGAATATTTTCAGCACCAAGAGCTTTGATTTTGGCCTCCACTGCTTCAAGGTCTGTCCGTAGCTCATCACCTTCTAATGCATTTTCTATCACCACAGGCTCAAAACCTGACCAAAAAAAGGAAGACCTGAATGTAACTCAACAAGTCTGACTAATTTTGAGGTTTTAGTTCCAGTATACATCTGAAAAACCTTCTTGCTTCTGTTGTTTTAACAGATTTTTTCTAACAGAAAAGATTGTGCAAATCAGACAGATTGTCACCTTATCACAACTCCTCGGACACTTACACTTTTTACATAAATTCAGGAGGGAGAGATTTGAATCATGGGCTTCGGTTTCACATAATTCTCAGAAGAGCAAACTAGGCATCTTACTTTGAGGATGAACTGTAACTTCCTTAGTACTGTGTTCTCTGTTGACTAATTTATACACCTCTGTGCCTCAGCATATGCCTGCATTTTACAAGGCATTAGGATGACAACTCATACATGTGATTGCATGTTAGAAATCAGGAGTGTAGAAATAAAGCAAAACTAATCATGCATTAGGCCTTTTTTGGATCTTACTGCAAGGATATGAAACTCTGATAGTTGTAGAAGACCACACTGTGTGATGAATCAGCTTCTTCTTACCTGCAGTTATCATTGATTTAAAGCAAGATTTCTGGTCTATACGTGGCCAGATAATGTATTTTGCCTTTGGTCTCTTGTGCCGCAATGTTAAAAAACACAGAGTCAAACTCATGCCAGTTGCCATGGGAACCACAAAGCAACTGGCCACTGTCCGGACACCTGCACATAAAAAACAAGGCAGAAATTAACATGAAGACCCCATGACACACCTCCACGAACAAGAAAGATTTTTCAAATTTACACCTACCAGCCAGCTTTATAATATCCAGAGCGACTGAATTAGTAAGTTTGTTCAAAAGGCTCGACCCTGCAGCTTTAGGCTGGACTGCGGAAATATCACCTGACCTTCCAATTCCATGGATCAATCTAAACAAAAGAAGTTGAAAACATACATCAAGTTTTTCCACATAGCAAAGCAATAATTCTTGCTGACTAAAAAGAATTTCATCTGATAAACAATTGTGGAAAATTTTGTATCCAATGCAACATCAATACCTACATCAATATTTGCATCTGGAATTCATTACGATGAATTCCATTGTAACAAACTACATATATTTGTATGAAATTTGGTGGTTTTTTAAACATTAGATTAAAAATCTTCCAGCATACAAGTAAAAACTTTGAGAATACCCACAGTAGCAACACCTTTAGCATCTGGCAGGTTTCCTTTTAAGCGCACTTCAGCACTTCTTGATGTTTGTTGAATTAGCATTATAAATGCTGACACATTCACACACACAACTCCAAGGAAAACAAAAATGATTTGCCTATAGTGTACAGTATCATAGGCATAGTGGTATTATACAGATACTCCCTTGACAAATGCTTCATCCCCTTAAGCCAAGGAAATAACACTGTGAAAAACATATATATATGCTTTGCCCATCTTCTACATCTTCATCTATCTCATTGTGCTACTCAGTATTATCTATCATGGAATACCATGTCTGTCTGCATTCTGTTTATAAATTATGTTTATAAACGGCATTTATAAATATTGAATATTATTTAGTACCTTCCAGGAGTGGAGGATCCTGGAATAATTTATAAAATACAAGCTTATAGAACTAACTTTGGCCATGGTTGAAATGCAGCAGCTGCTCAAGTAAGCTAGTAACAACACACACCTATTTATGGCTTAAATTCTGTTTTTATCTTGGGAATGGAGTAAAATGCACTCTGATGAGTACATGGAATTCAGAACTTCTTGGAGCATAGTTTTACAGCTTAAATTTATTTCCCTGTTTCAAGTTATAGGTTGAAATCAACAAACACTTGATAATTAGTTGAAACTTACATATAATCCCCACTGCACCTAAAATATCTTCTTTGCTGTTCCAACTACATTCTTAACAACTTTCTTATACCAACACTTTTTATTTTCTACACATAAGCACTCCTTCCTAAGGAGCAATCTTCCATAAGACTGGCCCTTAGAATTTAAGCTGAAAGGAAAGACAGTTTGAAAACCATCTCCTGCTGCCTCCATCACTCCCACAGTCACCTGTAACCACCTGTAACACTCACTGCAGTGGAGGACACCTTGCTAATGCTGACACTTGCAGGTGAAGCGAGATGCCAGGTGACAGAGCCGCATGCGAACAACAATAGCTAAATGCCAGTTCAGGCTCCCTCTGGCCAGAAGCCAGACAGGATTTCTCCAGCACTGTCAGAAAGCAGAACTTCCTAGATACTCTCTCCTTCCATACCACATGTATCCTAGTCTAAAGAGCCGTACACAAAACTAAAAAAGCCAAACTGATGTATTACTGGCTTCCTCCATTAATTTTTCATGGTACTGTAGCACTTATGAAAGCCATTAAGCCAAAGTAACTCAACCTCCATATGGTAATGTTTGCTAAATTTCTGGTCTCTAATATGCTTTTGTGCTAATCTTTCAAGGAGAAACTTCCAGGAGATTTCACTTTGTTCCATGCCTGTTGGATAAAACATCACAGCAAGGTGAAAGTTGTACCTTGTTAAAAAAGTAATGCATAGCGCATTTTAAAACAGGAAGATCTCTGCTTCCCTTGTAGAAGCTGAAGATACTGAGTTGTCTTCTGCAAGGGAAGCATACAAGACATAACCCTGACAAAAGATTTTTGTTTCATTCAAGACTTTCCAGTGAGTTGTTAATGAAAATTAATACAGAAAGTTGCATCAATTCAATTATTGCATTATTTTTCTCAAATGCTATCAACAAAACACAATAAAATATGGTATTTGAAAGCATTAATAATAAATCTGAATAACTGAAACTGTCAGTAATTCGTACCTGTAATGCCTTCGGGCAACGAGTCCTGACACCACTCTTCCTTCCCTCTCACCCACACCACAGTTGCCCAGGAAGTTATTGCTATCCATTATAGCAAGTTCATGAAGAAACAATTCAATGGTGCTTTCATCCCATCCATCCTCAGGACATTTTCCCTTAATAATAATAATATAAAGGTAACTACAAAACTCAGAAATTAAAAATGAACAAAACTTTATGCAACTTGTTTGACTGCTACTCTTCTTTCCCACACTCCTTGTATTTTCATTATGCTGTTTTATGTTAACTAATGTTATGAACCTGTATTTCCATGTATTAAGTACAGTTACATTAGCATATCCTGACATTAAAATAATCAGGATATTTTTCACCTTGAAGTGTTCTTTATGGTACACACAAAAACCTCTGCAGGGTTTTTATCTAGTTATTATCTAATAGCTAAGGAAACGACGTCCAGAATATGTCAAAACCTGCAACCAGAAAAACGCTTTCTTGTGGTCTTTACTCCTCATCTTTGCCAATTGCAAAAATGAACCTCTGAAGAAAGGAGCACATAAACCCATGAAGCGCTGCTATAGGTTCAGAGGCTTTTTCACACGTCCCAGTAAGAACACAACAAATTCAGGAAATCTGAATTTCTGAAATGCAGTATCAAAGTTAAATCGGAAACGGTAGCTGACATGACTAAGGATGGCCAAGAACTAAACATTTGCTAATTCATTGATAATTATTGTTATAAACTGGACACAAAGAAACGGCACCTTACAAGTGTATCACGTTTGACCAACGTTAGTAATGTGCAAATATCTCAACTGCTTTTAAACATTAATTGTTCGCTGGGCCTTTTACATAACATTATTTTTCCCTCTCAG